CTCTGTCTCTCTCTGTCTCAAAAAATAAATAAACATTTAAAAAATTAAAAAAAAAAAGATTTAAAACAAAACTGATAGAAACATTGATCTGTGTGCACCTGCCAGGAAGTGACACACAGATGAGCGCACCTGCAGAACAGCAAACACATCTCTCAACTGAAGACGTGGGGTGACAAAAAAAGCATTACCGTATTTCTTATCAGTGTACCTTCAACTCTTTCTCCTGGAAAATGACTGAACTGCCACAGGTCTCCCATACTAATAACTGAACTTACAATCATTTGAAAATTTCATATAGAGGGGTGCCTGAGTGGCTCAGTCGGTTAAGCGTCTGACTCCGGCTCAGGTCATGATCTCATGGTTCACGAGTTCTAGGCCCACACTGGGCTCTATGCTGACAGCTGGGAGCCTGGAGCCTGGTTCAGATTCTGTGTGTGTGTGTGTCTCTCTCTCTGCCCCTCCCCCATGCTCACTCTCACTCTCTCTCTCTCAAAACTGAATAAACATCAAAAAGAAAATTTCATATAGAAATCTGCTAGCCATATAACGTATACTAATTAGACAATCGTTGACAAAATCAGAATCAGTTTTTGAAAACACATTGATTTTCCTGAAAAGTATTAACTTCTTTTCAAAGATGCAGAAAAAAAGATTTCCTTATGTTTGAATAGAAGTTTCTCCTCTGCTTTATGGAAACATTCTAAATTAGTAAAAACTCCAATTATTTTGGGATTTTTCTTCCTCCTACCTATAAGTACACAAGTAATACTTTTTTCTAAAATAATCTGTCAAGGCGCCTGGGTGGCTGAGTTGGTTGGGCATCTGACTCGTTTTTGGCTCAGGTGATGATCTCTCAGGTTCGTGGGTTCAAGCCGTAGGTAGGGTTCTGCACTGGCAGGGCAGAGCCTGCTTGGGATTCTCTGTCTGTCTGTCTGTCTCTCTCTCTCTGCCCCTCCCCTGCTTGCACACACATTCTCTCTCTCTCTCAAAAGAAATAAACTTAAAAAAAAAAATACAACAAATAATCCATCCCACACATCTTACAAGAACTTTTAGACACCGAAAGACTTAGCTTGACAATTTCTCTGCAAGTTTAAGTCTCCTATGATAAATTCAATTTTCTTTCAGAGGGCAATAAAATTTGGTACAACTAGAATACTAAACAGAAATTCTATTTCAGTGCAAAATAATCAAAAGTACAGACATAAAGCAAAAACGCTCTGTAGCAACAAGTCTTTCAACCTCACTTTGAATGAAAGTTGACCTACTTGAAGACAGAATTATAAAGAATCCTCTCTACACAATGCTGTAGATGTGTTCATTAATCACTCTTACTTTCAAAATTCAGAGCACACATCAATTTCCCAAAGTGTAACCCAGGTTCACTCCCACCTTTATTTGCTGACCCTCACTCACTGTTTTTTAACGAACTGTGAAATTAAATCCAACTTCATGAACAACTTATGAATCTTAAGCAACAAACTTTATAATTTATAAAAATGCAAGTAATAAAAATCCATATAGCAATTTACATAAAGCAAAAGCAACATGCACACAGAGCACAGTTTCATAAACTATTTCTTAAATGAAAGTTATATAAGAAGAGGAAGAACAGCCTATTATGCACAAAATGGGGTTACTAGAGTAATATGAGCAGTTAGATTAGTGGCTGAGGAATCCCAGACAGTGATGGCTGCTAACTGTTGTCCTGGGTTGCAAAAGCATTAAACAGAAAGAAAATCAACCCTCTGAATAATGGGCACATTTTTTAAAAATATGAAATAAATTCAGTGACCAGGTCATACGACTATACAAAGTATATGGGGCAAACATCTGAATATTTACTTTCCGTTATACCCATATTTAATGACACTTCTAGATGACAAGAAATGAAAGAACTCATGTGCAGGAGTGAATAATGGAGGAAAAAAAATCTCTGATTTACCAAAAATCATTCATTTCTTGTTTAAAAAGTGCAAATAGGCTACATTAAAAATCCCCAAGTGTCAAAAAAAAAAAAAAAA